AACCCCCTCTATACCGTCAATTATACGTTTCAGTAATTTATATTTCGGTTGTTCCAAGGTTTTAGAGTATATGTAAATGTTTTCAAATCTAAGTCCGTTTTCATCGACTAGTAGAAAGTATATCAAATTCGTTTTACCACAGCCTGAACTCCCCAATACTAGAGAGCGTATCGTATTTGGGAATAGATCGCCATGTCTAAATTGAATTGTATCGGGGGTATCAATGTTRTAAATTCGAAGTTTTTTCTCTTGCTCGATAAAACGCATTTTCAATTACAATATTGTTCTCTATAAATACAGATGTATCGTCTATGATAGCGTCACACGATGTCTCGTGTTCGTAAACGAATGAACAATAAAGGTTCGGGCCTCGTTAACTCGGTAATAAACCATTTACCTGTGGAATTACATTTACCCGGCTATAGGTAAGTCACTATACTATATTATTAGACCAATCCTAATTTAACATATAATTATTTTCAGATTTGCCGGTCCTGGGACTAAATTAAAAGAAAGGTTAGCACGCGGTGACCKAGGTGTAAACRGCCTAGACGAGTTGGCTAGAGCTCATGATATCGCCTATGATAGAAGTAATTCACTAGCTGATAGACATAGGGCTGATGAAATATTAGAAAATCAAGCTTGGGAGGTGTTTAAATCTAAAAACAGTGGTATTAAGGAGAAAGCGGCATCCTGGCTGGTTACTACAGCTATGAAAGTCAAACGTAAGATGGGGGCAGGTTGTGGATTTAAACAAATGGTTGCAGCTGCTAAAAACTCGATCAAAAATAAACTTAAAGAAAAGAATATAACTAAACTGATAAGAACTTGTCTGACAGTGGCTAAAAAATCGAAAACTAAGAAAACTAAAACTCCTAGAATTATACCCATTCCTAAAAAGGGGGGTGTTTTACCTTTAATACCTATATTTGCTGGTTTATCCGCATTAGGTGCACTTACTGGTGGTATTGGGAATATAGTAAAAGTCGTGAATGATTTAAAATCTGATAAAAACACTCCTATTCATTTAGGTAAGGGCTTATATCTCACACCATACAAGGGGAGCT